GGATGTGGGCTGTTCTAGTTTTAGGGAAATGCGAAGTTTAGCTCAGGATAGGAAAGAGTGGAGGTACGTGTCCAACCAGTCTTAGGACTGACGACCTTATGATGATGATGAAGGTGCACGATAAATATCTCTAAGTACGAGTTTCCAAAGTTCTAAGAATTGTGCTACAATTAAATCACGCAGAACTTATAGACAATGTTATTGGTGCCAGACAAGTCTTGACATGTCTATGCAACTATCTAGTGAAGTACGTATTCTTCAGTCTGATTTAGGTTTTCGACTGATATAAACGCGTTTTCATAGCACTGTTTTTATAACCATGGCAAAATTTCTAAGAGCAATAATGATATAATATAGAAAACATCATAAATTATACAGCGTCTGCAAGAAATATTTGGTAAGTCTGTTGAATCCAAAAGTATTGTCTATCGGTGGATCGATCGTTTTAAAACTGGTAGAACATCACTAGAAGACGATTCACGCAGTGGGCGTCTAAGGACGTTGGTAATTGAAAGATACATTACCGCCGTCGAAGATCTACTGAAAGAGGACAGGCGAATGACTATTCCTCAAATTAGTATGCGCCTAGGGATAGGTACACGACAAGTTCATGACATCTTGCATGATTATTTGGGCGTTAGCAAAGTTTCGACACGCTCGGTGCCAAGACTGTTGGAACCAGAACAGAAACTCAATAGAACTGATACTTCACCCACTTCATAAGCTGTTAGCCCGTTACGGTGATTAACTTTGGCGACTAATAGGAACCACTGACATATTTCAATCCTGAGACGAGAAGGAGGAAGAACTGAAGGCGCGTGAAGTTCCTTCTCTTGGAAAGGTAATGCTTAGTGCATTCTGGGTTTGCGAAGGGATTATTTTTATGGATTATCTGGCAAAAGGTACTACAATTAACGCAGAATATTATTGGAATTTAATATTCGGACCACTGCAACCGGCACTTGTCAAAAAACGGCATAGAAAGTTGCATAAGCGTCTGTTATTGCAAAAGGATAATGCAAGACCACACACCGCAGGAAGAACGAAGGATGGTTTGAAAGATTTACGATGGGAATTGTTACCGCAACCACATCATTCCCCGGATCGTGCACCCAGTGATTATCATCTGTTCCCAGATTTAAAAACATCTTTACGGGATGTTCGAATTGAAAGTTTAACTAACATAAATGTGTCATAAATCGATTGATTAAGTAGATACCG